CTTCTTCTTCTTCTTCTTCTTCTTTCTCTCTCTCTCTCTCTCTCTCTCTCTCTCTCTCTCTCTCTCTTCTAGGAGGCTTGAAGGACCCCAGATACAAAGGATCTGCCCCAATCCTGCACTCCTGGCTCTTCTTCCTTGGCAATCAGGGAGTCCTTTCCATCCTTGAGATGATTAATTTTAAAGCCCATTACGATGGTAAAATGGACCAATTCCATTATTAGAGATCCATACACACTATTTCCATGACCCCACGTGCATCTTATTTACATTCTCTATTACTAACAAGTTGTTCAGTACCCTTAGTGGGCCATAAGCACTTCATGTGTATGGCCCATCCAGTCATTTGCTGGGATTTACAAAGACTATGGCTAGGGGGGCCATGCAAGTGATTCACTGCACTGTAAGGTGTCATTAGGGAAAATCTGAAAGATGTGAGACAATCATCAAGTTAGGGAGGCTTGAGTGAAAGCCTGAACCAAGGGACAATTGGTTAGATCATGAGGAATAGGGGAGGAAGCTAGCTGTACTCAGGGATGAGGAGGCAAACCCTAGGGAGAGGGGAAAAGGCTAGCATTCCGAGAACCAGGGGCCAAGCTAACCTAGAGGTTGGAGGGAGCTGCTTGCTTCTCTGCTGCCAGGAGAGGGCTGTGAGGCTTGCTCTGCAGAACTGGGTGAGGTCCCTGGATCCCTATGAAGATGTAAGAGGTGGTCCTCCTTAAAGCCAGAAAAGACCATTTTGACAGTCTGGTGATCTGTTTTCTAGACTCAACCTTGCCCTACCTTGTGCCATCCTCACCATCTCTGCCACACTGAAGTGCATTGTCACAGTCATTGGCCTGTCCATCTCGCTGAGGTGACACTGGGAAGATCCTGACCCAAAGTGACCCTCTGTTGGCTTTCCCAGTCTGTGAAGCATAAGGGGAAGAGGCTGCTCATCTTTTTCATCCAGAGAGTGTGGTGGTTTCAAACTGCAGGATACCATAGACCTCCGGTTAGTAGTGCAACAGCCAAGGAGTGTGTCATCAAGCTTTTTGTAAAAATGTGTTCTTAGCCCTCAGTCAACCTTTTGGCAGTAACTTGCAGCAGTTCCTGAGTCTTTTTCCTTCCCCCTTCACAAACACCTTTGCTCACTCTTTCTGTGTGAGGAAACTGTCCTCCTTTTAACCTTCCAGTTAGGGCCTAGACTCCTTCCCCAACCCTAACCTTCCTCTTCCTCCTGGGGGTCCAGGGTTAGGGTCTGAACCTGGCTGGTTCAGTGTGTGTGTGTGTGTGTGTGTGTGAGAGAGAGAGAGAGAGAGAGAGAGAGAGAGTATCTCTGGGTATGTGTGTAAAACCTGAGCTCCTAAGTCTTTTGATTCTGACTTGAACATGACTGTCATTCCTAGAATCACCATCAGGGACCCCACCCAGCACTGGCTAGTGCTCCTGACCTTTGGGCCACAGTTTTTTGGCTGTGTGTGTGTGTGTGTGTGTGTGTGTACACCCTCTAATCTGATTCAACTCTTAAAGGAGGAGATTGCTCCTCCTCCTGCAGAGCATCTTGTGGATTCTAACCACACACCTTCAGGATTGCAGCTCTGCTTCTTGCCACTAGTCCACCAGAGCTCCCTTGGGCTATAGTTTTTAATCATAGATTACTCAAACACAGATTGTTTGGATCCCGAGCCTCAGGATAAGCTAGGTCAGGGAAGTAAGGGAAATAGCAGATGGTAATGGAAAAAGCATAGCAAGCTGGACAATGACTAAGGATGACAGAAGAAGAATCGATGTCTTTGAGTTGTGGTGCTGGAGAAGAGTCTTGAATATACCATGGACTTCCAAGAAAACAAATTGGTCGGTCTTGGAAAGGGTGAAACCAAGTTTCTTCTTGGATGCTAAGATTTTGAAGCTCTGCCTCATTTACTTTGAGCACGTGGCCAGGAGGGATGGGTCTTTGTAGAAGGACATTATGGTTGGAAGGGTGGAGGGACAACGCAGGAGAGGAAGAACCCCGATGAGATGGATTGATATGGGAACTGGGGCAATGGGGTAGGTGTGTTAGAGTCAGTGAGTGAGGCTGGCTCAGGACAGGGTAGGCTTCAGAGCTGTTGTACATAAGGTCGCTGGCAACTCAATGGCACATAACAGCAACAACAAACGGCAATAACAACAGCAATGGGAAAAGACATCATGCTGGGAAAAACAGTCATCCCTAGAGGGCAAGACCCTCAACAAGATGGACTGACACAGTGAGATGACAATAAGGGGCCCAGCATGGCAGAGATTGTGAGGATGGTTTCTATCTGTTGTCAATAGGATCCCTATTGGTAGTAGCTGATCCCACAGGACCTAAATAAAACCAACCAGCCAACAAGGCCCTGGATGTCAAGCACGGAAGACAGACACGACCAACCTCGAGGCTGTATCAGAGAGGACCACCCAGCAAGAGAGAGACTTGGTCACACTCAGCTGTCGGTGTACAGGGACTAGGGAGCCACACGGTCTGGTCTTGTCCTAGGAATGCATGTGGAGGAGGGCTTCCCAGAGGAGGCCCATGGGGGCTGAGCTTGACATCACCAGGACTCAGAGAAAGGGTTTCCCACCCATATTCCCGAGCTCTTTTGGAAGATTTCCAATTGCAGATCTACTACCTGGGAAAACTCCAGACGCCAGTTTTATGGATACCCCTTCTTACCCTCATCTGGGCCCCAGCATCTTCCCAGACGCAGTGGGCCTGCTACCCCGAACCTTCAGGTTGAGCAATGTCACTTACTTGTTTCATCTATATATTCTGCACACTCACTTGCCATTTTGAACACCTTGACCATAACCTTTCTTCATAATATCCTTCCCTTCTTTCCTCACATCCTTCCTTTCTGAAAACAGTGCAAAGCTCCCATTTAAGCAGCAATTTCTGCTTCTCCTGAACTCGCACGCTCACTCGCTCACTCTCTGCCATAGGTCCGCTCTGCGCTGTTAGCACCACTCTTTCCAGAGTGCACCCCAAGCTGGTTTGCAAAGCTCTCACCCCCTCCCCTGGCTTCAAAGCCTACTCTGGGGTTCAGGGCTGCAGCCCCGCCCCCGGCAGTCCCCTCCCAGGGCCTGACGGCCGCTTCGCTCCCATTGGCCACCGGTGCTGGCCGCGCCCCCGCGGGGTAGTGATTGCGGCGCGCGGGTGTCCATCCGGCAGAGAGCGCTGGTGGTGGGGCCGGGGCTGGGCAGACGCCGGTGTGGCCGCGCGCGCGGCGGAGGCACCCAGCTGGGTCCCTGGGAGTCCCGAGCCCCGCGCGGGGATCGCCCACGATGCCCCGTGGGGACTCGGAGCAGGTGCGCTACTGCGCGCGGCTCTCCTACCTCTGGCTCAAGTTCTCGCTCATCACTTACTCCACCGTGTTCTGGGTGAGTTACCGCAGCAGGGCCCGGGGACTTGGGGGTGGGGCACATTCTCTCCGCAGCACCCACACTGAACCCGGGCAGGAGGTGGAGTTGGAACTGGCCCTTCCAGGTGGGCTCGGGGAGCTGACTCCTGACCCTTTGTCCCATTCTGCTTTCGGGACAAGGAGATGAGGCTGCCCAAACCTCGCCTGCGAGGAACTTGAGAGCCCATTGGCGTCTGTGCACCAGGTGGCTCACCTGTGTGCACCTGCAAGGTGGCGTGCGTCCACCGATTGAACAGCCCGCAGTTCCCCGCGCCCGGCGCTCCTATCACGCCTGGGAGGTGCCTGGATTGTGCCTCCCACATCAATCAGTCTGTGCAAAAAGTGGTCGGTCTTAGTGGCCTGTGTCAGGAATCCTGGATTCTGGCTCCTGTCCCCCTTACTTACTGACCAGCTGCCGCTGAACAAGACTTCTTTGCTCTTTGGTTTCCTCGTTGGTGGAGGAAGGATGCTTGGTTGCAGGGGTTCTACCAGATCGAGCCCGCGGAGGTCTCAGGCTGTTGCCAGGTGCTCAGTAACGGTTCACTGCCTCTGGGCTTTATTTAGGTCCTCTTCCGATTTGAGGTAGACAGTAGTAGTGATTGTAATTTGGGTTAGCTTCGAATCCTGCTCCTTCTAGCTGCGAGATTTTGAGGAAGTTACTGAAATCTCTTAAAACTATAGTTTCTTCAGCTGCAAAACGAGGCAATAAATCTATTTAACTCAGGGTGGTTGTGGGGATTAATGAAAGAGTATTTAGTATGAATCAGTGAAGAGATTAAGAAATGTGAGAAAGGCTGGATTAAGGAGAATCTTAAACACTGATACTGTTGGGCTCCTTCCTTTGTGCACACACTACAATGGAAAAGGGTATATTAAATTACACACAACACACACACACACACACACATCGAGCTGAAACAGACTACTAGTTGACCTTCCAATAGATTTTCAGAGGCTGTAAATCTCCTGGGAAGAGATTGCTCATCTTTTTCCTGCGGAGCAACAGGTGGATTCAGACTGTGTGTCTTGGAGTGGGCGGTGCAACACCTTACCACTAAGCCCAGAGAGCTCTCAAATACCAAACATGTATGAGCTATCTGTGATTGTTTTTTAATGCAACTGCATTTTTAGTGGTTGAATGCCAAAATGAATTGCATAGAATCACTATGTAATTCCAATGGGATGGCATGAATTGGATTATAGAATTTCAGAGGATGTGGGGTATTAAGATTTGTGGTATGTACCACATTTCCTGCAAAAAGAATATTCCATATATTTTACAACAAAGAAAATGATCCTGTGAATTTATTTAACTTTCAGTGTAAAAATCTGTTGATTTCCTGTGAAGAAATATTGACTTGTACAGATTTTACTTTAACGAATGCACACTTCACTTCTGTTGTTGTTGTTATTATTATTGTTGTTAAGTGCCATTGAGTTGAGCATGACTCATAGTGACCCTATGAACAAAAGATCTGAACCCTATTCTATAACTATTGTCAATTCTCTAATGTTCATAGAGTTTCCAAAGGCATGTTGTTTAGGGAGTGCATACCAATCCTGCTTCCAAACCTGTCTTAATCTGAGAGCTCTATGAAACCCTGTCTACCCATATGGCATTTGACACACCAGTGGCACAGTGTTCAGTATGACAGCAATCCCAAGTTCTCTCAGTACAGCAAACTGACAGACTAGTGCTGTGTTGTTGTTGTTGTTATGTGCCGTCGAGTCGCCTGCGACTCATAGCGACCCTATGTACAACAGCCCTAAACTCCGCTCTGTCCTGTGCCAATCGCACTGTCTCTGACACTCCCATCCCAATTAACCCAGTCACTGAATCAATCCACCTCATAGAGGGCCATCCTCTCCTGCGCCGTCCCTCCACCCTCCCAAGCATGATGTCCCTCTCCAAGGACTGGTCTCTCCTCACTACATGTTCTTCCCAAATACAATTAACAGGGGGCTGCAGGCCTGAGGACTCAATCAACTTTTAAATATAAAGGCCTGCCCACCAGGTCCTGATTGACATAAACAAGAGGCTTCCTACCCCTACACAACTGATTGTTAGCTAAATCCAGTAAACCCAAAGTTATTTCATAATAAATGCTATAATTATAAATGAATTAATAAAAGGATGTTCTAAAAGAAAATTTAACATTTAGAAATTCCTTATTGTAACAAAATACAGTATTTTATCTTAAAATAAACTTTGCATCTCTAATGTGAAAATTTAAAACGTTTTTGTTCTTTGGGCTTACAGATTCTTCAATAATTTTGTAATATTAAACTGCTGAACAATATCTGTTTTCATGCATAGTAAGAGTAATGAATGAAGCCTTTCTTGAATTATTACTGCACATTGAGGGGGAGTGAGTGTCTTTAGGGATAAAAATGAGCATTGTGTTACATAGTTGTGATCATTAAAGTTAGTAATATGCAAAGTAATTCCAACACTGGGAAAAACACATTGTACTTTTTCTTCTCTTATAGAATCATGACTCATATCTACATGAGTAAAATTTGTCCTTCTTGAATCTGTAAACTTAGTTCTTATGTAAAAATGAAATTGTTGCACTTCTCTATAAAAGTTTGCATTTAACTCATTGGGATAAGCCTGCATTAGTTTCCTGGAGGCCTTCTTGCAATCTTCATCAGGCATAGACAAAGTTAGGTTTATTGTTGTTGTTGTTATGTGCCAGAAGGAAAATCTATTTGAAAGAAATGCATATACTTTTAAGTCCTCCTTTTCATGCAAGATTTGAGTATGTCAATGGTGATTGTAGTACATGGTGATGCAAAATGGATCTTTCTCTTCTTTTTAAAAACTGTGATTTGAAAATAAATTAAAAACCCACTGTGATTTGAATGAAAGTTTATAAAGCAAGTTAATTTTTCCATTCAATCATTCATGCATGTTTTGTTCTGGAACATTAGTTATACTTACAAATGTAATTTCACTTTCGCTACTTCCTTCCTATAAATCTGATTTCCATTAATCTATATTTAACTCTCTAGGGAGTTCTGTTGGCCTTATTGGTAGAGAGTTGCACTGCTGACCCAAAGGTGAGATATTTGAATCTGCCAGCAGGTCCATAGGAGGAAGATGGGTAGTCTTTTCCCATACAAATTACAGTGTCTTAAAATCCCCTGAAGGATGAGCTATGTCAGTTCTGACTCGAAAACAATGAGTGGATTCCTCTTTGTGTCTTCCTTTTCTTTAGTGTTCCTGTGCTTACCATTACCTTACTGTATACTGCCTTTGACAACACTTATCTTTGACACTAAGTAATACTGCTGGAGCACTTCTACCATTAATTGCTTGTTCCTAATGTTTCTGCAACAGTGATTGGCTTGATAATCAGTATTTGACAATATTTGTTTTTGCTACATTTTCTGAATCTTTAAAAGTTCTGTTAATAACCTATTGATGACTGATAGAGCTCTGTTCTTGTCTTTACATTTACTTCTGAGTCATGCATCTGATGAAAATGCTGCAAAATATTATTCCACATAAACAATGTAAATACACCTTCTAGTGTTTGTATTTTGTTGATAATGCTTCAGCTTCTCTTTTGGTATATCCTATTTGTGTATGGTCTTCAGCAAATTCTCAAAAGTATCTAGAAAATCTAAGTTTTGATTCCAGAGCTACACTTGTTGCTACAGAATGCACTTCTCAGCGTGTATTAAAAAAATATAATACTTGATTATTGCTGAAATGTACTTTAAGAACTGCCCATTCATGAGTATAGGCTGCAAAAAAATATGTTGAGTAACTGAACAGTAGGAAAAAAAATCAGCCACTTCTGGGTGATAATCTACTGCACATGGTACAAAAATGGCTTATTGATTATGTTCTAAAATTTTCCATTACATGCCTTTATATAATTCCCTGACGTACTGGCAGCATGTCATAGGACTGGCTTCTGCAGTTAGGAAATTCAATTTTGCAGGCTTAACAGAATAAGTGTAGTACTTGATTTGTAATTTCTTCACCAGGATGACTTTTTAAGATAGTCATTGTGATAAACTGTTTGATAGGTTTCCTATCCATTAGAGACACTTTTTTTTAAAATGCAATGACATATATCAAGTGGACAAAAGTTACAGTACCTTAAGATAAGTTGTCCATTCCTGTCCAGTACTTTAAGGTCTATAAAACATAGCTAAGAAATGAACTGTGAAAAATGAAGATTGCTTAAATCAGTTAGGGAGAGGGATTATGGATTTCCTTTTTTATTTCTTTTTTGATTCATTGCTGTCCTTCAACACTGTCCTTCAGGTGGCTGAGGGAGTTTCCCATTTTCTTTAGACATCATTAGGCACCAAAGCTCCTAGAGGACAACTGGTACATGAATTCTGCCATTGTGCATTGACTTTTGTTAGCACTGACATGACTTGGGTCCCTTAGAACGTAAAGGTCCATTCATATGCATTTTTGTAACAAGTCTTACGTGGGGTAGAGCGTGCTTTGAGCATTTAGACCCACATTCTATTTTAAGGCTATATATCTGGTTTTCATAAATTATCTCAGCCTATGGTGTTGCTCAGAGGAAGCTCTGGTGACCTAGTAGTCAGGAGCTGTGCTGCCAACCAGAAGGCACATGGTTTGAATCCACCGGGGGTTCCATGGGTGAAAGATGGGTTATCTCCTCCCATGAGACACACTGCCTCTGAAAACCTGCTGGAGGGTCAGCTATGGACTGATTCCAACTCAAAAGTACATAACAGCAATGTAGTGTTGCTTAAAAGATGATCCCTTTAGAGAAGCTGCGGTATATTCACACAATGGAATATTATGCTGCATTGAAAAATAAGGAACTTATGCAATTTTATTCAAAGTGGGTGACTCTGGAGGACATTATGCTGAGTGAAGTATCTCAGTCACAAAAGGACAAATACTGCATGGTGCCACTGTTGTAAAACAGAACTGACTTCGGGGCTAGGGGGAGACTGAGAAAGACGGGCTCAGTAATGTAT